CACGTTGCTCGCAACTCGTTAGTAATAGGTCCAGGCACGATGGAGCGGAATGCGGCGTAACGCGCGTCAGTTGGCAAACATGTTGTGCTGCACCAGTTTTAAATACCATCTCCACAAACTGCACCTCGACTTCATAGTGCCCGGGGAGAAATTGAACCTCAGGCCACCGTATTCGAGGGCAGTTAAAATCACCCATAAGCAGGAAGCGGGAGCAACACATGTAGTTCCTGGCATGCGGCAACCAATTCAGGCATCGACTTTTCTGGCGGCGATAAGCAGCACCCAAAAACAGTTCACCCTGTCGCAGGCGGATCGAGCACCATAACTGTTCTCACAAGCCATTTGCGCTACGGTAGGTGTGTACCAGTCTCCTGCACAAGGAGGACCGAATGTATAACAGCACGCCGCTTCGATCATTTGATAGTCTGTCTCACCGTAAGCAGGAGTAGCTATTGATTTGGACTTCTGATCGAGATGGTTAGAAAAAATCGGCAGTTCATTACTTTCAGGCATTGTTTTACGAACATATACTTGGACATGTGAGTCAAATAAGCCACGATGGTATCTAACCATAACAAGTGGCACTGGTCTTCATCTCACAGGCCTTCAAATTCCACCAACACCTCTGGTCAACCTTCAAACTTTTAGTCAGACAAGGTTTCGGAGTGTAACGGATACCTTGAAACAGATATACAGGAGGAACGACCTTCCTTATCCCGATGAAACTCACCAAAGTTACAAAGATTCATAGACTATGCAAGCGCTTCCAGCTGGGAGAGCAAGTAGCGTCGAGTGCTTTTAGAACTGCGCATTGAAGATTATTCCATCCAGTATTCCGTTCGCCTAACTCATTCGTCAGTGATAAATCACACTGCAAGTCGGACGGATGTTGCTCCTTCGCGGATGATGGATACAGCTGGTAAGCAGGTGCATTCGAAATTGGAGTTTGCTTGGGCAAAAAGTGAGCGATAGACGGAGACGCACGAGAGCGTGATCAGAATCAAGATGTATTCCAGGTCGAAAGGCAGTCTTGTACTAGAGTGCGTCACATATGCCTGATGGTGATGTAAACCAGAAATCCCATCGTAAGGCCTGCAGCCACCATGCTACTCACCGAGAACACGTGTCGGGAAAGCTACGCTGTCTATATAGAGAGCGTGATCAGCACACAGCTGAATGAAGTGGTCATTGTTAGCGGCAAGACATAGAGAAACACCAAAACGGCCTACAAGTCGAAGCCCCAACTCAGATAGGCTTCCACCTTGGATGTTCAGGTAGTCGCAGGGATCAGAATATCCGCAGTTTTCGATATACAAACAGGGAGAGAGTTGTCAATAGAATTCATCATGGATAGTTCTCGGGTTGTGGTCGGTATTGGCGTAATCTGAAACGATATAGAGTCACCTTCAGTCTCGAAACCGAATGGTACACAAACGACTGTCCCCTGAGTTGTCTTGGCACGTCTACTGGGATGGACTCCAAAGCCTTAAATACCGTGACACATTGAGTTAGCAGCACTGAAGAGGCGCAGCGCGTAAGTTCTGTAACTGGAACCCGAGTCTCATAAGCGTAGACAGATTAAAACACTACTGCCTTGTACGCATGTTTCGGAGACAGCATAAATCAATTCCGAGTCAGTGTAAAGCAATAACGAGAGTCGTAATTTTAAGGAAATGACGATATACGGACATTGAAGGATCCGATGTACAAAGATGAGCCAGATTTAAATAATGATTCGACTTCGTCCATAGTGTGGTTGATGGAGTTGACAGTGAGCTCCTGTTGGTGAACACAAGAAGAGAATACGCAGAAAAAGGAAAAAGAATAGGAGGAATGATTACTAATGGTAGTGCCATGTGTGCAGATAGCACATGCTGATTTCCTATTCCGGAGGCCGGAACAGAAATGGTGCTCATATTCTAACATGAGCGAATCTCAAAAACAGCTGCTATATTCCCGTAGCTTATCAATCAAGCCCTTCAGAAAAACACCATGTTGGGTACTCGAATCGTTATCCTGTCCAGGTTTGGAAGTCTTGGTAATCCCTTCCTAAAGTAACATCATAATTTGCTCCGTAGACTTCAACCCTATCCAGTGTCAACCGCCGAGCTGTTGGAGAAGCATTGCTTCGCCTCCAGCATAAAGTTTAGCTACTCCTAGTTCCCCATATTTTTTATTCTATCTGCTTCCCTTACGTCCAGACCTCAAGTACGAATCTTATGGCTCTAGTTCCAGGTGTTAATTGACTGCAGCTGCAATTCTACTGTTTTCACTGTTTACATTCATGGCACCCAGCAATCAACAGTTTCCAACTACCAAAGGTCCGTAGCGGATTACGCCGCCAGAGGTTTTTAGTGGGGCTCAACGTTTCACCACATGAGGTAGTTCAAAAGATTTAACACGTATACGACAGGAACACTATATATCGACGCGAGAATTTCGCACCGTTATCACAGTAGTTGCATACAGCTTTTCCTCCCGACATTGGTTGCATGCATTCGGATACTGATGCAAAACTCATGGGTTGAGTAGATGAATCACTGACCGTCCTAGCATTGAATTCTAGCCAGCTGATGGGATTTCTGTGAATATCTGCGTGGAGACAACAGATGACATCAGTTAGGGCTAGCTGGATACCGACTGCATATCGCCAGGGAATATGCTACAACTGACCGCATTGCCTGTCCAAGAGGTGCCATCGACAACAAATAAACAAGCACTTTCGCCCTGATCGCAAGAGTTGTGTGAGAAGTAAACGAAGAACTGGAACGTTTAAGTAATTAATTGAACTGAGCGGGAAATTCGAGTATATATCCGAGCTCTGATATTAGTGGTGACAATACACAAGGCGCGACTACGTGAGCAGCTACGCCTCCCAACTTTTGTTACAGATTAACTAAGCCAGAGAAGATAGGCGCTGGATAAAGAAGGGACCAGACAGGCCGCATCCCTTCCAAACGATAAGTGCCAGAGAAGTGTATTGCAGGTAAACCACTGCTGCGGTCCTTGAACTCTGGTGCAAACTAGGCAAACTGTTGTGCTTGATCCGATGACCTCGGAAGGTGTTCGCGCTAGGTAAGCAGAAAAACTACCTTCACTGTGCTCCTAAACACCAAGTTAGGTCCGAGTCAGCGGGAAAATAGTTGCACAGCCTCCTGATAATAAGTGGGGTCTGTCAGGATAACGACTTTTTCTAGTTTCTTAAATTTAATCGTAAGCTGCATCAAAGAGCTTTTCTCTGTGGAGCCCAACAAAGCACTTGGACCTAAGGCTCGTGGTCATTGTATATATATATATATATATATATATATATATATATATATATATATATATATATAATACAAAATTTGTGGTACAGATATTGTGCCATTGGAATCATGGCCGAATAGGAAAATAGTATGAAGAATAAGAAGAGAGCAACAATAACAAAAGCTTTTTCATCTAGTTTACCACGTACACTTTTTGAAATTTTTTCAGTTTGTCCCTTTTTAGGGGGAGGAAGAAGGGACACCACAACACACCGATGCACGTCCGCCACTGACATCGATCTTGAGCCATGGCTTCCAAGGTCTTCAACCAGCAAGTATCCGCATCTCTAGGAACCCAACCAGGTAGTAGGACGGCTCTCTCCTACGACAGTGGGATCTGATATCTTCAACTTATGCGTCAGAAGAGTTTTGAGCGTCAGCACGTACTGAAAATTGCTCGTGTCGAATGGCATCAGCCCATTCACAACGACGAAATGATCTTGTGGGTGACACAAACTGGGTCATTTTGTTAAATGAATGAGTAAAGCCGTAAAAACTGCATTGGTACGGGCATATGCAAACTTGCTGCTTACCGGGGGGAGGACGTTAGTTCGCTTAAGATGTCTCGGATGGTGTAAGAGTCGAGGGAGATAGTTGCTGCGTTTTTGGCGGGAAGTAAAATAACGGACAACTAATCTGATCTGTCTCCAGCTCCCAAAATGAGTACACGCGACCCATCCTGTGTTCTCTCCCAGACCTCAGGGGATTTGGCTCATTGTCGATACCACTGGCTTATCTGGCATCGTGTGCAAGTCAAACCGCCTGTTCAAAGTTTGTAGGATGTTTACTTGTCGATGTCATAAGGCTGCTTATGAAGCAAAGCAATGAGAGGATCGTGCAAGCTATCTACTACCTGTCACCTCATGTCCGCATAATAACCAAATGTTTGTGATAGTGCGCAGCTGGCAAGATCAGAGCGCTTTAGTCCACCTCCGATTTGGCATGATATACCGTAAAGAACCACCAATACAAAGTGCTGGTGTGACGTCGATGATGACGAGGAAGATGAAATGGTTCTCAATGGTATTGGAGCAGTTTGATGGATCCCAACTGATAGTGATCCAACCAACCGTCAGGAGTAAGGCACAGGGAAGTGAAAGAAGAAGCAAAAAAAGTAGTAGTGACAAGCAAAATGGAGGCAACAGCGCAATAAGCGCCGACTAGTTTTATGTTAATAGAAAATGATCAAGACGAGTCTATCACGCTCTAATATTGATTTTAGGGGTCGGGAATCGAAGGCGGTTGATCGGTATGCATGGCGCGATCTGATCATGAACAGTTGCCAAGATGCAAGAGAAAGCCCTCATGCATGCGGAGAAGTTGCAGGGGAGGAAGTGGCAGACGCCGATGGAGGGTATTCCGTCTTGCGGTTGTCCTATAGAGGCTGCAGTGACAGTCAAATTCGGGACTGGATGCTGCCAACAGTCTTAGGAACAGACATACATCCAAACAAAACCATGGGAATCCCTCCAAGAAGAATGAGCATGTTCGGCGTCGTGTATCTGGTACGGGAAGTGCGAGTGAAGCGCTCAGCACCATTATAACACCCAGCAGGCTCCGACTGTTGAGCCACCTGTTGCGCATGTCAGCACACCGACTCCCGCGACGTGCATGGTTTGCGCGCCTGGTGGGTGATTGGAAGAGGAGGGGAGGCCAAGCGATGATTTGATCGAGAGAACTGAAAACCCTTACTTCAAAGCTGGTGTCGGTTGGTGCATCCCGACTGCCTGGCTGGGGTCCGAAGAACGGTGAGCACGCTTGGTCGGACACACTTTCTGATATAACAAAGAACCGGCCCCAATGGCGTTTGTGTTGTAAGTTTCTCTGACCATCCCCCTTCACGAGAAGCTGTCCCTGTATTGTGGACAGATCATGGGTACAATAATTATCATGCTCATGCATGAATGAAATATGTAACATGGGGTGTATTATATCAAAATAATTTAGAATTACGTAACTTTCGTTGTTGCAGAGTTCTTTGTACCATCTTTAACCATTGATTATATATTCTTTGATCCATCCTGAAAGAACTCGTGTGGTGATTTACCCGATGGAAACATGGTCATTATCGAGTTTTGATCAAGGAATTTGCTAAGCTGAACGTAGAATGGTCTCGCATTTGTACAAGACCTGATTGTGGCTGGTAGGCTATTCTACACGACAGCGTATCTGACAAGAAGTTCGATCGGATAGCTGTCTTGGTTCTCGGCACACATAATGTACAGGTCTTGTTGCGTATATTCCGAGTGAAGTTATGTTGAATTTTAAGTGTACACAGATTGGAGTATGTCTTTTGGTTTATAAGATGGTGTATCAGCATCAGGTTATGTTTCAGTCGTCGCAACCAAAGGGGTTCGAGCTTAAGCTGTTGGCAGCGCTTCTGATAACTCAGTGGTCGATTTACTGAACAAGCGCTTAGTGAATGATCTTTGCAGGTTTTCTAAAGCTTTCCTGTCACCCATTCGCATGTTCCCATAGATGATGTTGCAGTATTCAAGGACAGGAAGTGTAAGTATTTTGAAAAGCTCGAGTCTGGCAGGGGTTGTATAGATTTTATGGCATATGTTAGCCACAGATCGTTTGGCATGTGCTATTTGATACTCAGCTTGCTCTGAGAAATTAAAGTTTGAAGAGTATCGTATACCTAGATCACAGTTGGATAGTTTCACACAGATACGTTCATTGTTCAATTTAACAGACTCTTAAGGGATTAAACAGCCGTGTGACGTAATGCATGATTTACTAGCTGAGAAATTTAGCATCCATGTGTTGCAGTATTTCTCAAGTGAATCGAGGTCTTCTTGAACGAACAACAGTGCGCTACTGAGTTCGTCTCGTCGAAATTTATGAACAATCTTTACGTCATTGGTGAACAAAATGGCCCGCCATGTTTTATGAACACCGTGATATCGTTAATATAAAGTAGGAAAAGAGAAGGACCAAGTACACTCCCTTGGATGACACCACTGGTGACTGGACGTGGGAGGAGTTATGATTACCCAGAGTGACTATCTGATAACGCCCATTTAGGTATGATGTCAACCAACCAAATAGTGGGTCACTGATTCCAAACGACTCGGTTCTTTTCAGTAGCTGCTTGTAGGGCACTCTGTCGAATGCTTTCCGCATATCCAGGAACAGTATTATAACTGCATATTTCGAATCAATGGCTTCTGTGATGTAATCCAGGTAGTGCAACTGACATGTTGTACAGGAACGTTTGTCGAGGAACCCATGCTGGGATTTGTTAAGTAGCCCATGTAGATGGATAGTCCATGATTCCACTTTTAACTAATTGTTCGAGTAATCTAGCGATGACGGGAGTATGATGCACAGGTCGATAATTAGTGACGTGCTGTTTGGGCCCCCTTTATGACGAGGGACAATAAACGACGTTTTTCACTGATCCGGAAAGTAGCTAGATTCTAAGGACAAGGTGAACATGTTGAGCAAAAGCAGTGGTATGTCAGATCCACCAAGTTTAATAAGTGATAGGCGGTGCCATCGGAGTCTGGTTTGAGTGATGGCTTGATGGAGCTCATAGCCTGTTGGATGGTAGAAAGAGAAATCTCGGCATTATCTATGCCGCTTGTTGTAAGTTTCGGGCAGCAAGGTATAGGATCAGTTTCTACGTTCATGGAAGCAGCGAAAAAAGTGCTTAACGCTTCACAAATAGCCGGTGGGTCATTAAGATGGCGACCCTCCTCATCAATAAGTTCTGTAATCAAAAACATTCGATTGTTAGTCCTATGACGGAGTAATTTGACCAGTTCCTTCCCTTTGCATGTCATCTGCAAGGCGTTCTCCTCCTTTTCAACCCGTTACATTTGTGAGCGCTTGATGCAGGCGGTGGATTCGTGCAGCTGTAATATGAGTGAGAAGTCTCTAGTTTTTCTGAATTTCCAGAGTAGTTTTCTCGTCTTCAACTCACTCAGTGTCGCTTACATTATTAGGACAAGGAGTGGCACGTTGATTATGCGGGACATGTACATGTACAGTAGATAGATCTGCGTTGTGAAACGGTTTATTGAAGGTGTGCCGACAAGTTTTAACCATCCCGAAATAACTTTGCAGCTACACGTCGGGCAAAGTCAGAGCTTACACCACGTTCTCTTCTACGTTTGCTGTGATCAGCGGTGTTCACCAAGGTTGCCCTATTTCACCTTTCCTCTTCAACTTCGCCATCGAAGATGTCCAAAGAGCACTGGAAGGTGTCCAGAACTGCGGTGTTGAGCTTCGCCATAGAGTCACGGTTTTGGACTACGCCGATGATATCGTCTTGCGCTTTGGACCGCTTAGCGATGAAAACGTCTAAATACGGCTTATGTTTCACTTCGGGAAAATGTAATACGCTGCTACAGGACTGGTAGGCGCCTGAACCCATGCTTACCAATGCTGGACATGTTCTGGAGCAAGTCCCTTGCTTTACTTATCTAGGGAATTGCATCACAGCTGGTGGCGGTGTTGGAGATGAAGTCTTACAACCGATTGCAAAGGCCCGCCTTGCACTCACCAAACTGAGACATCTATGGCGTCGTCGTGATGTCAGTCTCAAGCTCAAGGACAGGGTGCACAATACTTCCGTCCGTGTAGTACTCTTGTAAGGCTGTGAAACGGCCTATTCGCTCGGAAGACATGAAGCGCCTGTCAGGCTTCGACAATCGCCGTCTACGAAGGATTGCTCGGGTGTGGTGTTGCCACCACGTAAGTAATGCAGAGGTCCGAGACCGAGTGCCTGAAGGGAGTAGTGCCAGTCTTCAGGACGTTATTCTTCGGCATCGCATGGGTTGGCTCGGGTACGTATTGCGCATGCCAGCCCATCGCCTTCCACGTCGAGCGTTATTTGCAATCTCAGGGAGGGATTGGAAAAAGTGCCGCAGTGGACAGCCAATGAGGTGAAGTAGCATGAAGAAGGCAACCTCAAGTTTGGCGGCAGTCGGACCAGAACGTCTTCCAGGTAGGGGACCACGAGATGCTGAACCTCAGTGGTTGGAAACATTGGACGTCATGGCCCCAACAGATATCAGTGGCGCTAATGTTGTTATGTCATTATATCCCCACTTTAATACACACAAAAATCTCACAAAACAAAAACAAAAAATACAAAATGGTGTGTAAAACCAAAAAAATCGTTTTAGATTTTATTTTTCGCAATTCGTGTTGCTATCTTCTCCACTTCTTTTCTGCCACGGTTCTGAGAGCACAATGTCTGTTAACAGACTATATATATATACATATATATATATATATATATATATATATATATATATATATATAATGCCAGCGGATCATTTGCAACCAAGGATAGTCAACTTCTTTGCGAGGACCGATATCCATCCACAGGGTAAGCAACGCTGCAATTGATATACGAAGCTCTGTACTTTCGAAAACGTTAGGCATACGTGGGGTGATCCTTCCTAGCTGCCAGCAGTGCATCAAAGGACAAACGGAGATACCGGAGGTTTATGTCATGGTAGAGGCTGGGCTCAGCTCAGTAAGTACTCGGTTAATTGGTGCACAAGAAACTTGAAATACAATTAGACGGTTAAACTTTGATGTGGACAACTGGACAGAAGTGTTGGCGTTAGGTAACTCATCAGCTGGTGATCGAAGCGAATGATTAGACAACCACCTCGCTGCGTACACCGAAAGCGGATACATGAGTATGTCAATAAATGAATCGTCAGCTGAACGCTGTAAATGCGCTTCGTTG